CTCCTGAGGTCCCTTCCAACCCTAATTTTCTATGACTCTCTAGAGGAATGCCTGTTCTATACATTTGGGTGTATGATGACTCCAAGATCCCTTTCTGCCTCCGGGCTCTCAAGAAGGGAGTTTCCCATCTTATAAGTGTGTTGCCGGTTACTACTGCCCAGGTGCAGCACCCTGCCCTTGTCGGTATTGAAATGCATCCTGTTTTTGTCAGCCCACCCTTGCAACCTATCCAGGTCTTTCTGCAGTCTTTCCCTCCCTACTAGCGTGCCCACCTCACCCCAAATTTTGGTATCATCAGCAAATTTGAACAGGTTGCTTTTCACCCCGTTGTCCAAATCGCTGATAAAGAAATTGAACAGCGCGGGCCCAAGGACCAAGCCCTGGGGGTCATATTCAGGCTGACCCCTCCACCACCACGCTCTGAGTATGACCCTTCAGCTAATTTGCAATCCATCTGACTGTGTAGGCATCGATGCCACAGTCACCTAGTTGTTTAATGAGGATGGGGTGGTCGACAGTGTCAAAGGCCTTGCTCCATTTTTTTCTTTTTGTACAAGGGTTACAGAGATGTGCCCTGCCTGCGGTGCAGGACAGCGAGATGAGATGCCCGCCTGGCCAGGGACTTCACAAAGCCCTGTTTCCCTGCGGCTGTGAGAGCAGAGGAGCAGGGCAGTGGTGCAAGACAGCAGAATGGGATGAGCAGGAGCAATCGAAAGTGGCATCTAATAGACAAAGGTCTGAACTACAGAAGTAGTGCACCCTTACCTGGTGGGAAAGGAGGGCAATTGCACGTCTTCGAACGCCATTGTGTTTGCACACAATGAATTCATAGACACGATGCTGCAATTAGCAGTGAGCCAAACTAAACTGTGTCTGAGCAGTTTTACTTTAACAAGCTGTAAACACTTAAAAAATGTTGATAAATCCCGTTCGTGCAAACAAACATGCAGTTGCAGTGCCTGAAAGGGCAATAGATATGCTGAAGGATAGAGCTAGGATTCAGAGAGACCTAGAGAAATTGGAGGATTGGGCCGCTTCCAGACTCACCTACTCAAGAAATTGAAGGATTGGGTATTGAAGGATTGGGTAGCTTTTCTGCAGAGCTACTGCCCAGCCAGTCAGCCCCCAGCCCATTCCTATGCATGGGATTTCTCTATCCTGAGTGCAGCACATTGTACTTGTCCTTGTTGAACCTCATGAGATTTGTTTTGGCCCAATTACGACTCTCCATTGTGCTGAAAGGTAAAAAAAAGAGGTAGGCACTGCTAGGGTTTGAACCCAAGATCCCCTGTTTACAAGGCAGCTGCTTTAACCAGCTAAGCTACAATGCCCATATAAGAAAGGACTTCTGAGTTTCATTTTGTTGTGTAGATCAGGTATGATTCTTTCCCAGGTGGTGTCTGACGGCAAGCAGGGAGGTATGAAAATCTTTCTTGTTGTTCAGCAATGAAGTTTAGAATCCAAGATCATCTAAAAAAAGTGTCACTCTCACAGAGACACTCTCATGGACCCAAAGGGATAGATTTTCCAGCTCCAGCTCCATCTGTACAAAAATGAAGTTTATTTCCTATCTAAGGGGACTTAATTTTCCCAGAACCTGATGAAGGGCCGTTGAGCCCAAAAGCTTGCAGAAAAAGAGATTTTTTTTTCAAATTCCTAGTTGGTCTAGTGAAAGCTATCATCTCTGAACCAAGAGCTCTAGATTTTTGCATTCCTGTTTGTCTCAGACCAACACAGCTACCATAGTTTCATAGTGCTTAGGGTCAGAAGGGACCTAAACAGATCATCAGGTCTGACTCCCCGCACAAGACAGGAATGAGTGCCAGGGTCATAACACCCTAGCCAAATATATATCCAGCCTCCTCTTGAAGACCTTCAAGGTAGGAGAGAGCACCACCACCCTAGGTGTGTTGCTGGTTCCTTCTCCCTAGATGCAGCACCTTGCACTTGTCTGCATTGAACTCCATCCTATTCTCATCCGCCCACCTCTGCAACCTGCCTAGATCTAGCTGGATTCTGTCCCTCCCCTCCAGTGTCCCCACCTCGCCCCACAACTTGGTGTCATCAGCGAATTTGGACAGTGTGCTTTCCACACCCACATCCAGATCACTGATAAAGATGTTGAACAGTACAGGTCCCAGGACCGAGCCCTGGGGGACCCTACTGCCCACATCCCTCCAGGTCGAAAGTGACCTGTCCACCACCACTCTCTCTATGCGACCATCTAGCCAGTTTGCCACCCATCTGACTGTGTAGGCATCAATGCCATAGTCACCTAGGTTTTTTTAAGAGAATGTAGTGGGAAATGGTGTCAAAGGCCTTCTTTAAGTCCAGGTAGACAACATACACCTTGATGCCCTCGTCCAGGGACTTTGTGACCTGATCATAAAAGGAAACCAGGTTAGTTAGGCAGGACCTGCCCTCAATGTACCCACATTGGTTGCCCTGAGCATTACCTCCTCTGCTGGGCCCTTGCAGATGTGCTCCTTGATAATTTTCTCAAAGGTCTTCCCAAGGACCGAGGTGAGACTGGCTGACCTATAATTGCCAGGGTCCTCCTTTCTCCTCTTCTTGTAAATGGGGACCACATTGGCCCTTTTCCAGTCCTCTGGCACCTGGCCAGAGCCCCATGAGCACTCATACAGCCATGCCAGGGGCCCCGTTATGACCCTCACCAATTCCCTCAGCACCCTTGGTTGAAGAGCATCTGGACCTGATATAAACACGTCCAGCCCCTCCAACAATTCCCTAACTAGGTTGTCCCTGACCCTAGGCATGGTAGTGTCTCCTCTGGGTCCATCCGTAATCCTAGTGGGGGAAATGTCCCAATCCCTGTTCAGGAATATGGAGGCAAAGAATTCATTAAAGAGGTCAGCTTTTTCATTTGCTGCAACCACCAGATTGCCAAGCTTGTCCTGTAGGAGCCCCACATTACTCAGTGCCTTTTTCTTACTTCCTATGCATTTGAAAAAGAACTTTTTATTATCCTTAACTTTGGTCGTTAGCTCTAGCTCCATCTCTGCCTTGGCCTTCCTAACAGCCTCTCTGCAGTCACGAGCAACGGAGGAGTAATCCTCCTTGGTGGCTAGCCCATGGCTTCCACAGTTTGTATGCCTCCTTTTTTGCCCTCAGGCATTCCTGGATATCTTTGCCAAGCCATGGGGGCTTTTCAGCACTCCTGCCTCCCTTGGTGTGCATTGGGACTGATTCCCTTTGAGCTCAGAGGATCATCTACTTGAGGAACAACCACCCGTCTTGGACTCCCGTCTCATTGAAGCTCTGAGACCCCAATGCCTCTCCTACTAATCTTCTTAGCCCATTGAAGTTGGACCTCCTGAAGTTGAGGACTTTTTGCCTTACTGCTTGCTTTCACCACCCTGTGCTGGATAGCAAATTCCAGCAGGCGATGATCACTGTCACCCAGGTGGTTGAGTAACCACAGACCCCTCACCAGGTCATTGCCTGTGGCAAGTATCAAATACATCCCTTTGTAACACAGGGGCACTTGGTTTGGGAGAGCCAGGGCAGAGTTGTGTACTGTCGACCCCACCTCCCACCACACAGCCCAGCCCCACACTGAGCTCCAAGATCCACATTTCATCAGCCTGCTGTCCCCACATCACACAGAGCTCACCATGGACTAAGTCCACTCAGGTTCCCAGGCCCTTCCCCACCCCACTCTTACAGCACACTTGTCCCAATGCCTCTTCTCTCCCCCAAGCCTATAGGCATGATGACAATATCCTCTTGGGGAGGCCCTGGCCATGTACCAGCCTGTTTCCAGAC